GTCGTGTAGTTTAGAATAGACAGGCGTGTAAACCAAGCACGGCACTTATTGGGGAAATTTCCAACCTTTGGAAATTGCTATACAGCTTTTGACTGACTAGATGATCAGTGAAGCAACTGAAGGCGAACCTTAATTGAAAAAAATCATTCCAAGGTTAAATTCTCCTTCTAAAACAATAATACAGGTTGGTGGCTATGTGTGGTTCTCCCTAGCGCGACCTTATACTCAGTTAGACGTGAATTTTGACTCGTATCCTCCAGGTCGTATTTAAGCTTAAAGCACCGGCAAAGAAGCTCTGATCCAAGTTAAGCACCTTTGATCGGGTATTGATCTTTTGGATTTCCTAGTAGATTTTTTATGAAAAGGATCTGGTAGGAATCCAGAAAGTTATCTATCGGCAATGGAATTCTGTCTTCGGGTCGAATATTGCGGATACGTGCAATCCTTGGGGGGAATTCTACTTGTACCCTGTACTTAACGCTGAAAATCTGTCGGTTAAGTGGGCAATCGCCCACTGTTACATAAATGTTTAGGTACATAGAATTTCCTATTTTTAAATGCGACAGGGTTCACCCGGATGGCGGCTACTTACTGCGGAGTGCTGATTCCAGAGCACAACGGCTACTTCTGAAACGCTATAAATTTTGATATGCAAGTTGGCGCTTTTGGGTAGACATACAGAATTAAGTACATTAATTCCTGCTTATTTCTTCCTTCTCAGTTGTGTTCGTAATGTGCTTACATACATATGTCTACAACGTTCAACTTCGATGTTTGGCTACGGACGAGGGAGTACTTGTGCGGGAATCCTTGAGAAGCAAAGTGGGAGAAGTGAAGAAAACCGTTTGGATGTCTCATATTCCGAAGTAATGCAATGTAACAAAATAACACAATGCAACAAAATGGTGATAGTAATGCCTTTCTTCCTTGAAAAATTCGAACGAAACCTACCTTTGTCCGTGGATGACCAGTGGACATGAACGTGACCTATGGGTTTCCAAACGGTCAATTCTCATAGATCTATTGTGAATAGGCCTACCTACTTATTCGTAAATTGCTCACAGTTATTCAAGGGATGTGAATAATGAGTTACAACAAAAAAAATTTTACTGTCCCCACAGGAATGTTGCCGGATGAATGCTCAAAACACTCGTTTAATCTTGGATTGCATGTTAACGCTTGTCTTCACTTGACGGCGTCAGGCATTAGACTGAACAGTGCGTCACTAAGATCAAGGGGGACGTTTCTCTCAAGCGTAAATCAAAAGCGCGTGTTAAAAATCTGATTGCCAGATTGTCTGTGTCACGTTATTTTCCAAAGAACTGATGGCAGATCAGAATAAAAGGCAACTTATCGACCACGGACCATCATACAGATTGCCTTAACAGCAGGATAATTACCAGTCTCTGTTTACATTTGGCTGCAACTTTCCATGCTGATGTTAACAAGCAAGAAAAATAGATAACCGCCTATTGATATGCAGCTCGTAAGTGGCGTATCATTACCCTCTTGCAACACATCAGCGGAAACGTGTATGTTAAGTCACAAGGAATCATGAGAAATTAGACATTACAATACGCGCGACCAATAGTACACTCCTTTTTTATTATAAAAGAGTGCACTAAGTGGAACCTGTATCCATGAATCTAAGAACCCCAATTTTGAGAACAGCTGACGGAACCAAAAAAGACATGCAGAATCTGTGTACTTGACAAATGGTATTAATTTGATGAGCCCTGGTTTGTTGGGGCTAAAACCGCTGATCGGAACTGCCGATGACAGAGCCAAAACAGGTGATAGTAGGCTCTGTTGTTGCGCACATGTTTCTCGTTCGCAACTCTACCATGTGTATGCGATTGGCTTGGGGGCTGGAGATCGGATAATTCTATCATCCAATTAATTGGCACGAACTTTAATTCGTTGAGCATGACATTCATCTATTGCTAAAGCATCTCTGAGCATGCTTAACCCCAACAGGTAACTGGTTGTGACGCTTTAGAAATGAAGAGCATATCATAAAATGCTTTCAATCACTACCTGTAACTGTGCTAGCTAAAGGCAGTCTTGAACCCCTCAAAAATGGTAAGGGATAGTAGTGAACTTTATCCGGTAGATGCGTCCGTAGAGTTAGGATCGGGTCCAGACGAAAAAGACGAAAAAAAGCTTATGCCACTTCTGAATTCCGGGAAAATGAGTTTTGCGTCTACTGAATCACCATAATTATATATCACTCAGGATTTTGCTCAAATCGCTGGTGACACACCCTGGTGCAGTTACATTTCGGATCTCATCAAGAAACACGTCCTAAGGCTCCATACAAGAATATTATTGCATTTGAGCAAGTAAGCAGGGTTTCTGTAAGTGGTAATCTCTGGCATTCGGTAAGAGTAAACAAATTCACCACGTAAGGTTCTTAACTCCTTTGGGTTAGTTTAAAATGCTTCAGTGTTAGCCGAAAACAACTGAAAACACGGAAATAATGGTTTGAGATACAAAATTCAGTCTCCCCGAATGGTAGGGGTGGGTATGTAAAATCCAATTACAATAATGTCTATATTCTCGTGGTCCTGGCCTCCCCACAAAAGGACGTGTCTGAGCCACAGGATCCATGCAGCTTTTATCCATCTGTCAGAAACCACTAAACTTCGGAATTCCAGCTTCGAAATTACGCCCCTCGTTCTGTTGTTGTTGATATACTTGTAGCATAATGTGTGCCAACATCTTTGCATTCGAAACACTTCTGACTGTATCTGCTGCTTGCACTGTTACGCCTGTTATTACTGCTTTGAGAAAAAGCTACTACAATGTCTTTAGCTTCGTTTGCTAGTAGCTGAAAGAACTCTGAAGGGACCCTCATGATGTTCGGAAAGGGTCCACCCGTCCTGTTCTGACCTTCCCGATTACGATTCCCTACAATCGGAATCAAAAGCTCCGGACGGAAATTCCCTTGCTGTAGAGCCGACTACAATGGATGGAAAAAACTACATAATCATTCTGAAAAACAATCGAATGCGTCTTCGTTTACAGGATTGACCGTATTGAAATGTGGACAGTTGTTACAGTCGTGGTGTGCGTACCATCATGACCCGTGGAAGTCGAAGCTGTGTTTAGACTAACATACCAGAGTCAACAAATAAAGGCTTGGAAAATAATACAGATTAATTACGCGCGATTTTCTGTAAGACGGACGGAAGGATCGCTTTTGTCCGTCATCCCATTCGGGAACACGGGTGCGTACTACATGACTAAACAAAGTGATACGGAACCACGAAAACCAAAGAAATGGATGAGTTGTCAGCTTGGTAAACCAAGGTTGAGCATGAGTGATTATTTGCGCGCTTAACTTCCGCACCTGCTCCATCCCTGAAGGCAGCCTTTATGGGATTTCTCCCATTTAACGCAGCGGCAGACTTGGGCTTTTAAAAATGTTTTTTTTTGGGAAAGTTCCTCATCCAGGAGGAATTATATGGCAACAACCGTATTAGTCCACATAAAATCAAGGAAACTGTTGCATACGAAATAATAAGTTGAGAGTACGAAGTAGGACTGCTCGTATGGGAATAAGTTTCAGCAGTAAGAAAATAAAGATTTTGGCCTTTTATGGTTTATAATATGTGTGAATCGCTATTGCGACAAATACCTTTGAATTTTTGTGGGCGGATTTGTCTTTCTTCAAGAAAGGATCGTTGTTTATTGTCGTTGTTAAATGAGAGAAAATTTAATGAAGGTCTCAAAATTTTTAAAAAAAATTATGGAGGTCCTCAAATACGATAAGTCTGCAATTAGCAAACCTGCATGGATTTAAAAAAGTCAACATAGACCTGTCATTTTATTGCTATCTTTTAACAAGTACTCACAAAACTGAAGCCTCATAACAGCATACAAAATAGCAATCTCACTCAGAAGTTGTATCAATATTTTGAATGTTGCGAGATCACGTAGAAACAGATGATTTTGAGTGTTCATACAGCAGCTTAAGTGATAGGAAATATCGCTAAATTTAACGTTTTCTCGGCTACTCTAATTTATCCTTCTGAGACGACTGCTACATAACGCTACTTGATCGTGACCGGAATTCATCCGCTAAATTCTAAGCAGTAGCGGTTAAATTCAGTCGCCTGTTTTAATAGAATAACCCGAATCGAAATGCACGTTGGATCACATTGTATTTGCAACGATGGAATTTCACCCAAAATTGGCTAGCCGAGGTGTGAAATGCTCAAAAAAGGACGTGAATTTTGTGTGTAATGGGATCTACATGCATGAGCACAGTCTAGCCACTTCACTTTAAAATTCAAAATGTGCATAAATAATACCACTGTATTTGCCTATGCGAACCGGCTGGGTAGATCCGACTCCATTTCAACGTCCGTCCTCCCTGTATTTTTGTCTTTGATGCTGCACTTGGGCGACTCACAAAGTATCCTGATCGAGGACAGGAAACTTTATTTCTGAATGAGCGAACGACAAGCAACACATTAGCCGGTTGTTGGTAAGTTTCAACCCAGCTCTAGCGAGTTCCCAAACTACGTAGCAATCAATGAAAAGGTAGGTATGTCCTTTCTTTCTGAGTCGGGAGGTTATATGTGACAAAACAGTTCCCGAGGTTTTTGGCCGGATATAAGGAATTTCGCGTCGGGCTCGAATGAACAAAATTGTTGCGTCACTCAACCCACTTAAATTATGTGATATATACATCCTACTAGGGTGAGCTGTGAAAGTATTATATGTATATATATAAATGTACATATATTTGGTATCGTCTTCAGTAAGTTATTGTGCATCTTTAATGAGAAGTCTGGATGGGGTTATTCCGACCACATACTCCTCGGCATTCCCAAAAATACTCCGTTTGACCCTGTATGACTAATGGCATAAGCAGGATTCTTGTGTACTCCACTAACCGACCCTATAGAACTGACCACTTTCAATGTGACTTGAAAAAAACACGATGCCTTTTTCCAGCTTTTGGACCTTTGAATATCTGAGCTAGTATGTATCCGAACAAGAACTTTGTGATTGGACGGAACGTCATAGATTTGGGTATACTAAACATTTCTAGCATATAGGTGATGAAGTTAAGCCCTGTGTGAGTTGGCGGATAAATTTGATCAATCTTAACACCTTAATTAGATTAAAAACTTAGGTAAATTTATTGACCGGATATGGTTCGTGTACCACGTGATCTGGTGAGTGTTTCTGCGCTTCTGCAATACCTGCTATAATCATGTTACGTAATGTGGACACGGCGTTGTTAATGTTTTCACGTGAAATTCATTGTTTAAGATGTGTTGAAACTGAAAGATTTCCTAGAATCACTTACAGTGTAACAAAGATAAGCGCTACACAATTCCTTCTATTTATCTGGATTGTTGAGTCTATTCCTCTGAATGAAGATGAATATCTGTACAGTTTTTTTATTTTTCCACTTCATCCTCTGCGTTTTAGGGATGTTTATCTTATCAAGTTGCAAATATGCACATTATGTAGATATTTTATTGACGATAATTTGATCATACAAATGATCGCAACGTGATATCAACAGCAATCCGACGGCATCAAGGAATCGGTTTGGTTTTGCAGTACAGTTGATCTGATCTAGGTCAAACTGTTTCGCCACTTTTCCATTGACGGTACGTTTGAGCAAATATCGGTAGCGGAATCGCGGAGACCAGCCTACTGTCACTTGACAACTTAGAGGAGAAAACTTGCCCAAAAGTGCCGTTTCTGGAGGAGGCTAGAACAGCAACTACAAAGAATGGCTGGTGGTCGTAATCTGTGCTTGAACTCTGTCAGACTATATATAAACGACGCTTCAGTAAGGCCGGGAAGTGAACAGCTTGCTTGAAACAGCGCAAAAAACCATTGAACTGAACAGATATGAACATCAGGACTGGAAGAACTCAATTAACCAAGTCCCTTTCTGGAGCCTGTCAAAATACCGGCCCGTTAGACATCAACCAACAATCGCCTGATGAACAGGTGGCAGTTAGTTCGCTACTGGGATGGGTTTTTTATATCATGTAGGAATATCAACCATGCGTAAGAAGGACTGCGTAGACCCGACCCACGAAGGACTGTTTGGGTCTCCATTACAAGATTCGACGTCGCACTTTTACATGCGTTCATTTCGCCAATAGAGATTCGGGGTAGAAAATACAGCCAAGACATCAATAACCGTCTGTATGAAAAAGGCTGATATTTTAAGAACAGATCGCAGAATTACGTAGACCATGCAGTAGACGGTCCGCCATCACAGCCGTGTGGCGGACTGTCTATAACGATATGAAGCAAATCTTCAAATATTTTATTTCTTGATAGCTAATGCATCGACTGCGTCTCTCACAGTACAATCAAGGCTTATGCGGTTTTCAAAATTGTTGGGCCGATAAAGCAAAATGGATCCTCCATTCTGAAATTCGAAAGAAATGGAAGGGATTTCAAAATATCAAGTTAATTTCTTGCACCTGCATGTCAAAACAACCGTCTACGATATTTTAATTACAGTGGCTAATGCGTATGCATCACCATCCAGGCTACACAATCTGGGGATACTGGATTTCGGCGGGTGTTCGTTTAATATCTAGATTCACGATCTCTGGGAGAACGTCTTCGACGGCGATATATAGTGAGGCTGTTTAACATTGCTCAGTAGCCTGGCTCGGACATCACTTTTTGAGTGTGATCTAAGGCCGAATACGAAAATACGACACTTGATGTGATCTTCAGTTATCATAGGTAACTTGAACCGATCGCATTCAAAGTTGTAGCCTTCTTGTTTCATTTTCATTAGTTTTTTCACAGTGATAGCGAATGGTGAACAAGAAATACTGTCCAGTGAAAAATTTTGACAGCCGTTGTCAGTTGCAACAAAACGCTAATCTTGCTTGCTTTTGGAGGGATGCGTCCCAAGTAGCGAGTGTCTCGTCGTACCAAGTTTTCTGAGCAAAACCGACGGTACCACCTATGTGGTTGAGCTCAGATCTGAAAGTATCTCCATGATGTTTGAACCACCAATAGAAGATCGGGCCAGCACCAAGTTTTATTGTGGAAATCCATGATGCTGTTGCCGATGAGGTCAAAAGTTGCATCTGGAGCATAAATCAACTACTGAATATTGCGTTAACAATGCTTCCACCGATCGCATCTTTTCCGTTTAAATTTGGATATTTTGCAGATCAAAGCTCTCACTCAGCATTCAGTAAATTTACACGACTGCCTACCACAAATGGAGCAAATTTCACTATGGCACCTTACTGTGGTTCAGTTATGGCATATGCATGGTAACGTGCTGTATGGTTAACGGACTGATCATGCCTTTAGAAATGTCCTAATTCACCACGGGTCGTTTTCGTAAGCAGCTGCTTCAAGTCCCACACCATCTGTAAAGAGATCTATTTATTTCGCTGAAATCTCATGAAGACGCAGAGAACAGAAGATTAGGAAAGGTGGCGAACTTTACATCAACTGTCACACCTGAGACTCAAGCACGACCATTGATCACGCAGAACAAATTAACTGTTCCATAGTTAGGCAGGGTTCGTATCAGTAGAGATCCGAACGTAATTTAATAGCCTGTTGTTAGCTATTTGAATGACGGGTAGCTTGCCTTGTCTTGCTCAGTGATATAGTGTCAGTATCCAACTATAATATACCATGTTCTCGTTGGTTCAGGTAATAAGGTATTTTGTGTACACCATGAACATTAGTGTTACCAAATTTCTGTTGATAACTGAAGAATAAGTGAACCCTAAAACTACCAAATGGGCGATACTCAAAAGGACTTGAGGTGTACGGCGAAATATACAATTTCGTTTCAAATTATTG